TTAGTAGCAAGTTTAAAACTTAATGAAAATCTTTTTAAACGTACGTGGCGTACGTCATTGAGTAGCCCAAATTTTTTCGTGAGCGATATTTAATTTCATGTGCATAAACATATAGAAAACGTTAATATCTTAAGTTCTAAAAATTTGGGATACTCAATGACGCACGCCAAGTACGTTTAAAAAGATTTTCATTAAGTTTTAAACTTGCTACTAACTTTTTTTCATATTTTTAATAAAGTTATAAACAGTACTTGGAGTTGTTTTGATTTCATATTTTTTTGTAAAAAACGATTAATTTTTTTCGAAATTTTTTAAAAATTCTCTGATTTTTTTTATTTTTTTAAATTAGAAAAAAAAAATTTCCTCAAACTAGGCTTATTTTACAAAACATCTGGGAATTTCCGCAAGAATAAAAATTTAAATAAAAAAAGGTAAAAAAAAGATGAAAGTGAAAATTAAAACATAATTTGTTAAATTGTCTATTTGATACAAACTAGCAACCTGCAGTCACTACGTGACTGCCCAAATTTTGTTCTCCAGTCAAGAAATTTTCCTTTCTGTGGAGTAAATCAATTGTTTTCACATCCTTTACAACTTTTTTAGGCCAAAGAGTTGATTAGTCAATTATTTTTTTAGAAATAAAATATGCAAAGTACGAATAGATTAATTATATTATAACTTTACTGATAAATTATCTAAAGCAAATAATTGTTCCACAATAAATAATAAAAAAAAATAACAGTTACTTGTTACTAATTAAAGACCGATAAAATTATTAAAAATAACGATAACAGTAAGTGTAATTACAAACGTAAAAAATAATCAGTAGCAAGAAAAACAGAAGGCGGAATATGTTTTAACAGAGAGTGTTTCTTTATCTCCTTTTATCTCGTGTATTTGTTATTTGGTGAGTTTAAGTTAACTGGTCCGAACATACTGCTCCTCTGGTATTCTGTATCTGGGCGTCTTTTGGTCGTTTTGTTACCCGAGGTTAGTTATGGGAAGCCGGCAGTTTAACACAAGTATTTGAATGGCTGTCGGCCCTTGTTAAACGTCAAAAAGTCGCAGGGAAACCACTAAAATCAGTTAAGGATCTCAACTGCTTGTAGAAATTGAGAGGGTACACGAAACGGCTGATAAATAAAAATTTAACATTTTGTTTTTTTGATTTCTAATTATTCCTTTCATTATTCATTTTTATGTCAAAATTTAACAAGAGAATAAATAATTATCCTCTGTACACTATAGGAATAAAATTAAAAGTTGATTATAATAAATTAATATATACAAAATAAATTATAAGAAATTTTATCTACAATTCAATTTTAAAATTCGTTCAAGTTTTGCCGCGGATGGTGTTTATTTTTATACGAATTCAACACCCTCTTGCGGTTCAAGCAAATCATCTAAAGAAACAATAGGGAACTGTATTACCGGCGGTAAGCAGGCTACGTCACAATTTAATATAGTATCAGCTGTCTTCAAGCTATATTTAGAAATAAACCAACAGACTCGATAGAGTTTGGCGCCAAGTTCCGTTCTCAAGCCAGACTACCGAGTGTGTATATACCGTAAGCAGAACGGTTTTTTGAGGTTACAAATTTTTTTTCTAATTTTTTTTTTATATGATATTTTATAATAGTCGTTCATAAATAATAAATTATCCAATTGTATATTATTATATTTTTACTAGATTAAAACAAAATTTAAGTTATATGTTCAAGACCAAGACGAGATCTTGACAAGACAATACAAGACGATATTGCAAATTACTTATTTTTAATGATCAAGACAAGACTTAAATTTTAAAGTCAAAATCAAGACGCGATTAAAAATTTCGAGATCAAGACAAGACTTTCCAAATCTTGTCTTGTCTCGGCTCGAGTGAAGGCCTAATTTTAATAATAAAAAATAACTTTCCAGTTTTTTAAAACTTTATTTTTTAAGTAAGAAGTTCAAAATTAATTAAAAATAAATGATTTATTAGTAAATAAATATCCGAACAAAAACAGTTTCACTGTAAAAAAATCGCGCCAAGTCCACGTTCATCAGACTATTAAGAAAAAAAATTTTATTTCTTTACAAAAAGATATCAAATAAAAAATTGAAAAATCCAAGTAACCGATATGATTGTTTATGATTTTCGGAAATTAAAAAAAACTTTTTTGTAACTTTAAAAATTAAAAGAAACAATTTTGGAACGTACTTGGTGTGCGTCATTGTGTACTTCAATTTTTTTTGAAAGTCCTCGTAGACAGATTTTAGGAATTTCATAAAAAGTGAAATATTTTGTAACCACGCACACTAAATACGTTCCAAAATTGTTTCTTTTAATTTTTAAATTTCCAAAAAATTTTTTTTTCAATTTCCGAAAATCATATACAACCATATCGGTTACGTTGATTTTTTTTAATTTTTTATTTTATATCTTTTTGTAAAGAAATAAAATTTTTTTTCTTGATAGTCTTATGAACGTGATCTTGGCGCGATTTTTTTTACAGTGAAACTGTTTTTGTTCGGATTTCAGTATTTTTTGTAATTATAATAAAAATTGACAACTTTAATTTAATACATTTCCGGTGGCAAACTATCCCCTTTAAGCTATAGTTCATGTAAAAGTTATTCTTGCGCCGCCTGGCGTGTGTAATTGCAAGCTGTCAAATATCTTTTTTTCACTGTAGTTTCCCATCTATTATAAGATTAGCATGCATCCTTATATTATTTGGTCTCTGGCCGTCCGCTTTTTACATAAGAAAAAAGTTAAAATCTAAAAATCTGGGTCACTATAGTTTGTGCTGATTATTTTTAATAATTTTAAATAGAAACTATAAAGATGATTGACAATAATCAAGTAATACGCGTAATAAAAAGCACAAACTACTATTATAAAATATCATATAAAAAAAAAATCAAAATAAATTTGAAAAAAAATTTGTAACCTCAAAAAACCGTTCTGCTTACGGTATATGCCCACTCGGTAGTCTGGCTTGAGAACGGAACTTGGTGCCAGACTCTATCGAGTCTGTTGATTTGACATATTTTTAGGGTTATGAAAGCAATGAGGAGTTTATTTATATAATTTATATTGGGGTATCTTCAAATAAACTAAAATTATTAGATCCGAGTTGGATTTTGTAAGTTTTTTTTTCATTATTAAATTCATCAAAAATTTATGTATGTATACAATATTACTCAATTATAACAGGCAAGGATAAAGATATTTAAATTACGATAGCTCAAATAGCGACCCAAACGTCTTATGATTTATCTCAAGCGAGATTTGTTAACTAAACTATTAAATTTGAATATAATATAGTACCTGATATAAATTCCCATACAAACCTGTATGTTCCTTCGGAACATCGAATTCAAATGAAACGTTACTTATCAAGAATCGATGCCAATACAATAATTCAATAAATTGGATCTATTCTCCTGATCAGGACCGTCAGGATTGGAAATTTTAAGGTTACTAGGGACAAAGCCTGAGAAACGGCTGCAATATCCATGGAAGGCAGCAGGCACTCAGATTACCCTCTCTAATCACAGAGTGATAGTTAGAAACTTGATCAGTTATAGTTTAAAACATTAAACTAATACTTGAAAAATATTTTCAGTGGGAAAGTTAAAATAAATATAATTTTTTTTTTTAGTGCATATTTATTGACATTCTACAGAATTTGGAATAAAATATTCTTACAATTGATGTCTTTTTATAAGATATATCTACTATTTCTTGTCTCAGAGACTAAAATGAGAATCTTTTTGAGAAAAAACATTTTTTCGAGATTATTTAATTTTAAGGTATTTGCGTTGTAGTGGTTGACGTCGTACTTGTTCACTTTATTGCCACACACTTACCTACGGACTCCTGGTAACCATCAGCGCAAATACATTTTCCTTCGTGACATTTATAAGCCGGTGATTGACATTCATCACTTTTACACATAGCATACAAGCCCCCAACACATTTTCCCGTAACATCATCTTTAAAATAATTCCAATTGCATTGACAATGCTTATTGAAACAAATCGCATGGCCGATAGTTTCACAAGCACGGAAATGATCACATTCTCCCTCGAGAGCTAAAATAAAAAAAAAAATGTAAGCTTACAACTGCTTGCCTAAGAACGATTCTGCTACCGTAACTAGATTCTGCTATAACAAAACTGTTTTATTCTAACATACAATTAACTTACAACCTAGACTTTGTTACAACATATTTATTTGGTACCACAATACGTCACATGTCGTCCAACAAATTTTTTTTGCGTATGATATTCTTATTGTTCACTATGTATTCAATTTAATGGTTATTTATCTCACCTGCTGTGAAAGGTTTGCATTCACGGTCTTTTGCAAAGGAATTTCCATTGCACATACAATGGTCATCTTTACATTCTTGATTGGCTCCTTTGCATTTATTTTTAGTGTCACATGGAGAGTATAATCCCGCAGTACATGTGTCTCCTATTTTGTCAAAACCCGGCTTACACTGACATGTACCATTAAAACAATGAGTATTGTTCAAGTGTGTACAAGCAAGGTCCGAAGAACATGCTCTATCAATTCCTAAAAATAACAAAAAAAACTTATCATCATATTGCTAATTGTAGACCTGAAAAAAAAAAAAAATAATTAGACTATAATATAACTAAATCTAATCAAGGTCAAACCAGAATTTATTTTTTGGGCCAATAATATTTTCTGCAATTCCTATTTGAAATTTTCTGTATAAATAGTATTTTTGTAAACACAATAACTCAAAAAAAACTATTAATATGCCTGATTCTTTATTCATTTAATTTGTATGGTCAATGTCCAGATCTTTTTCGAGAACCGGGGCTCAATGATCATTCATTTAATTATAATCAGAAGATTTATGATCATTAATTTTTCCTAATTTTTACTCATCAAACTTAAAAATAAAATTGCACGCAAAATAAATTTATTAAAATAAAATTATTGAATTTTTGGTATTAACAAAACTGCATTCAATACTTTCGAGAAAATTGAAGTGAAAGGACGCTTGAATTGAAAGCTTGATGAGTTCAAATTAATTCGCAATTTATCATCAAATCTAGTCATGCTTAAAACATATATCTAATCATAGGGCCAGAAATTTCGATGGTGTTCAAAGACTAAATTTGAACAATAAAAAATTGATCAGAAAATGTAATTTGACAAATAAATACGTTACCTGTAGCTTTTTCCACGCAATCACGCATATTCTGAATGTAACCGTCTTTACAGACGCATTTTTTTTTATCTGAACATTTTGAATTATCTGTTTTACATTTTTTATCTGGTTCTGCATCATCACAATCATTGTCTAAACCCGGGAGACATTTCTTGTTGTCTAGAATATAACCCCATCGACACGAACATAGTTTTGTAGTGTTATTACAGTACGTATTTGGAACTTTTTGACAGTTTAGAAATGATGATTCGCAAGAAGTTCCGGGTTCTGAAACATAAAAGAGATTTCATTTTTAAAACTGATATTCAAATAGTTCCTCGCGAAAATTCATCACTTGGTTGCAAAGTTTTTTACCTGTCCTGTATGTAACACACTCGCCATAGACAGTGATTTCGTCTGGTTTGCAAGTTTTAGCTGAAACCGATGGTACTAAGAAGCCAGCCACAAGTAGCAAAATTATTCCGTAAGTGTACATTTTGTTGCCGTCAGAGCAAACAATTCTGTTGATTGCGATGAGGCGATATTAAGCTGGAAAAAATTTGGAAAAATTGCTAATAAAATGTTAAATTTGTTAGAAATTTGAGAAACTTGGACGGACTATGTTTGAGGGAGTTAATTTGTTCTAAAAAATCAGAGCAAGATTTTATCAAAAAATGAAGGTGGTGATCCGCACAATTTTGGGTTTTAACAATTTTTTTATATTTTTACTTAGTAAATATTTTAAATTAACTTACCTGAAATATTTAGCAGGAAATACTGAGTTGTGCTAAAAAACGATTGCTTATATACTAAAAATCTTTCAAATCGGTGAAGAGTTTGATAAAAGCTATTACAATAGGTACCAGCCACTGGTGCGCTAGCACTGACTCTCAATGTCACTTGTGACGCAGTGTTTTCTAGCAGATAAGTGAAAAATTTTTGCATTCTTCCACGCGTTTGAAATATAAAAAATAAAAAATTTTTAACTGTGATGAAAATTCAAATTTTGAAGATACTAGAGAAATATTAAGCCCTGTATATAGTATCCCTTTGCAACAGAAATCAAATTGTAAAAATATATATTCTATACTTTGTATAAAATTTTTAAGAGGTCGCTCCAAATTTTTTTAAATTTCGAAAATCGAATTTTTTTTTTCTCATTACAAAATAAGTTCCTAAAATTTTCAGTTCAAAATTAAAATTTTGAAAGGCCGCTCATAATTTTTTTTAAATTTCAGAGTCAAAAATGCTAATCTAATTAAATAGTCACTAATGTACCATAAATGTCGAGAAAAACTTTTTAGTGCTGCTGAACATACCTTTTGATTTTGTTCTTTTAATTGAACCAGATCTTTTAGTAATTGTAAACCGATTCTCGGGGCTATAGTAGAAATTTGGCGAAGAAACGAGGCGTTCGGGTAAATTTACGAAATATTTTAAGAACTCGGAGAAAAAACACTTAAATATAATGATACATTTTCTTGGTAAAATTATTAAATTAAAAAAAAAGTTATGTTTTCTATATTGTGCTTGATTTTTAGCACATCACGTTGTGTATTTTTATCGATTATTGTACTAAATAATAAATAAAAAATGCATGGAATTTTAATTTAAATATTAAAAGGTCGCTCAAAAAAATCTAAAGTAAAGCACTAATAAATTAAAAAAAATTATGAGCGACCTTTTAAAATTTAAATTTTGAACTGAAATTTTCAGGGAGTTATTTTTTTTTAGTCTATAAAATTATGACGAAACGAGAAAAAAAATTAAAAAAAAAAAAAAAATTCGATTTTTGAAACTTAAAAAAATTTGGAGCGACCTCTGAAAAATTTTTTTTTGAGTTGTCCTTTGAAGAAAGCTCTTAAAACATCAAAAACTAACATTTTTTCACTCGAGACTTAAAATAAAAAAATAGTCGGTTTTTTTTGCGCCACCCTAATATATATGTATATAAAAAAAATATATCAAAATGCATGTGGGTACTCAAATGATAGCTCTTGATGAGTGTAACATCGGGATGAGCTTATATTTTTAAAAATGTCAATAGTTAAAAAATTACAGTGCAATTTAACAAAAGTCATTAATTTGATAAAGCAGAATTTTATTTATTTATAGTTCACCAGCCACGGCAGTCACATAGTGACTGCAAGGTTGCTAGTAGTTACTAAATTATTTATTTCCACCAAATAAAAAAATTATTCATTAAACTGTAACAAATGGTATTGATAGGTAAAAATTATTTTTTTCTCCCAAATAAATGACTAAAAATTTTATTACTAAATCAGTTTAGTACTCCCCCGAGAAAAAATATTTATATATAATTATATATATTTATATATAAATTGGTTATATATGATTATATATGAAAAATGGCCAAATATAATCATATCTAATTATATATAATTATATATAACTATATATAATTATATATAACAATATTTAATTATAGATTTATTACATCTAATTAATTATTGGATTAATTTTATGGATAGAGTATTTAATATGGTCCTACGCAATTCTGTGTAACCGATCAAAATGCAAAAAAAATATCTAGATCTAATTTTATGCCTATAACACCAGTGGTCACCCATCCAACTATTAACCCTGCTCAATGCTGCTTAACTTTGGTGATCTCCGTGCGTCTTGAAGTTTCTGCCTGCTGTGCTGCTATCTTAGACAATAATGATTCTATGATCTACTTAATGTATCATATGAGTTTATCATAAATATAATATAAAAATTGATTTTATAATATATTTGGATAGTTATAATTCATAATTTATTTATCTTACCGAATTTTATTATAATATAACACTTATTTAAATAATAAAATAAATAATGATTTTACTATTACGTAGTAGCGGAGCAGACAAAACATCTCATAGGAAATGTGACAAATTTTGTATTTCAGAATTATTTAAACGTAATTATAAACATCATTTTACACTTTTTGTGATTACCAAAAAAAATTTTTTTTTCAAAGAAAAAATTTTTATGTATGTTAATTATATATAAGCATATATAATTATATATGATTATATATAACCTCATATACAATTCCATATATAATCATGTATGATTATATATAACCTCATATACAATTCCATATATAATCATGTATGATTATATATAATTTTATATACTTATATATATTTGTATATGGAACTATATATAATCCTGCATGGTTGTATATCGCTCCATATATAGTCATATATAATTATATATAACCTCATACACAATTCCATATATAATCATGTATGATTATATATAATTATATATGATTATATATAATTCTATATAATTATATATGTGATTCCATATATAATCATATATGATTATATACAATTATATATGATTATATAGAAACATTTTTTCTCGGGCCGTACTAAATCCTTCTATCAGTATAGGGAGAAGAATTTTGATAAGATTTATTTCATGTAAATTGTATATCCATGGAGAATCAAAATCAAATCCTGATTAACCCTTTCAAGTTGTTTCAATCAATTAAAATTTTTTTATATAATGATAACACCTATGAATATTTAATTGATCTAAAAATGAGTAAATACATTAAATTTGTAAAGATTCAAGGACAAAAATTTTTTTTTATTTTACTGTCTTGTTTTTTTTTTTTTTTTTTTAATTAAATGCGTATTTTCTTTTAATACACGTGTAGCATTGAATCCATAGAAATCATTATCGGCTATTGGAGACATCGCGAGAAGCTCAATGCCACGCAAGATTATCTTTTTTTTAACAAATAAGTAGGAAACAGTGATTACTTTTCTCAACAATATAAAAATAAAATATCTAAATTTTAATAAGGAAGTAACATTTTCATTGTATTTCACTACTGATAAATTTTTTTTTAGCAGCAGTTTCCTTATAAGTTATCTAATCACTGATTATAAACTACGACTGTTGATTCTTCGTTACAATCCTAAAAATCTCAAACCTTTGGGCTTTTTATTTGTTCTAGAAGAATTTGGTAAAATCATTATCTCACCCCAAAAATTATTTGTTATTTTATACCTTAATAAGATAGTTACTTCAATTATTTTTAGTTAAATATGGCCATCTTGATTAACTTTAACTCAGTATGTCTGGATCTAAATTTTAAGTTACTGTAACTCAATTATCCTTCGAAAGTGAATGATGTACATATAATTTGTCATTGAACGACAAATTTTGGGAGAGGGGAGAAGAAAGTATAAAGGGAAGGGAATTATTTTTAGCGCTGGAATTATTTCTACATAAACTGTAGCTTCAAGGGAATAGTTTGCTATAAAAAAATGCAGCCAACGCGAGATTTAAGTTGGTACCAATTGTAAATTTTTATTATAATTACAAAAAATACTAAAATCCGAACAAAAACAGTTTCACTGTAAAAAAAATCGCGCCAAGTCCACGTTCATAAGACTATTAAGAAAAAAAAATTAGTTTTTTCTTTACAAAAAGACATAAAATAAAAAAATTAAAAAATCCAAGTAACCGATATGATTGTATATGATTTTCCGAAATTACAAAAAATTTTGTTGTAAATTTAAAAATAAAAAAAA